TGCTCACAAGGTTAATGGAATGTTCACTCTTGTGAAGGTAGGTTTAGGAAAAATTGGTCACTAAATTAGGTCAAATTTGGAAGTCTTTTGTGTCCAATTCTTTTCCTACTTTTTGTTGAGTCAATGTTTGATCCTTAAGCAAGGATTTGAGGCCACTTCCAGCACAGAATTTTTTAATCAAAGAAAAAACAAGACAAGCAACAAAAGCACAATTTATCAAGCTTATACCAAAAATTGAAGAATAATGTGTTTAAGACAAGACTCAAAGATAGCCAAAAATGAAAGCTGAAAAATAAGACTCCAAAGAAGGCTAGCACTAGAGTAGATTAACAAAACAAAACAAAAAATTTGGAAGAAATTGAACAAGTATAAGCAAACTAGTAGTCCAAAGAAAATTGTGGAATCACGTGTGTTTTCCTTAATTTGTTCTTCTCGGCTTTTGCTTTTATAATTGCTTTATATTTTTTTTTATTATTTTCTTTTTCTGAATTCAAATGTATATTCCAGAGAAGACACTTGCCTTTTGTTTTCAAATTTTAACAATTCAAATGTATAGAACCCGAGACTACTAGATTGAAAAATTTAAAGTGAAAATGGATGAACTAGTGCACTATAGTTTTAGGTTTTAGGTTGGATTCTTTTGTTCTCTTTTTTTTAACTCTTTTGAAAGCTAATGCTCTGTATTTCTCTGTTTTCCAGCCACAAAAACTTTTAAGATTTGAATCCAAAACAAATAGTGCACTAGAAGTAAGATGAATCACTTAAAATTTCAAGTTACACAAAATTGTTTCAAGAATTTTTTTATGGAAAGTGATTTGAAAACTTAAGTACACAATGGAAACCTAATAGCAAATTATGAACTCAAATAGGTAAAACAAAAGCACATATAGGTAGGCACAAGATTATAAGCAACTCGTGAAGAAAAGTAGACAAACACAACACAAAAGAAAACTAGGTTAAACAAGCTATTCAAGGAATTATCAACATATAAGAACTACACATAACTTGCTAAGACAAAACAAGGATTCAAAAATAAAAATCTAATGCAATGGATGAAGTCCAATCACGGACACATGCTTAGGAAATGAGAGACTCAAACAAAGTAAAATAGAACACAAGCAAATAGGTCCTAATTGTGTTGATTGTGGAAAGAATTTCAAAATACAATCAACTAATGGATCTATGGATAGAAAATTTTCAAAAACTTATAGATCCGAAATAAAACTCAAACAAAGATAAACAAAAACACAAAGACAATAAAACAAACGGACCAAAAAATTGAAGAACACTTATCTCCAAGAAGAACCTTGCTCTTGATACCAAAATTGATGGCAAAGGAAGGAGAAGTGATAGATGTTCCTCTCCTTAGCTTCACCTATGCACGGATCACTTCTTTGGAGATTTAAACCGAATAGAATGAACACTTGAATGGAGGATTCTCGGATTGGTAAAGCCTAAAATAAGGATGGAAGTATCCTAGCATAAGGCTCAAAGGATTGCTCACTTCAAAAGGTAGGAACTAAGGTGTGGTTCCTAGGGTTTTGAAGGCAATGTCTCGGTGACTTTTGGAAGAAACTTGGCAGAACATTTGCTCTCAAATTTCATATATCAAAAGTGAGTACAAGGAGCTTGGAGGGAAACATTTATAGGACCGGACTTGGAAGCCACTTGGCGCCAATGTGAAGGCTTCACATGTGGCGCCAAGATTTGAATTCAAATCTCAACTCACATGTGTGTCACCGGTTCACAAGGAGGCTAAGTGAGTTTAGGTTTGATTTAAGTTGCATTTAGGGTTGAATTTGAGTCACACATGTTCAGCCAAGGTGGCGCCAAGCATGTGACTCAAAATTCAACTTAAATGCAAGTTAAATTAAAGCTAGTTTTGCCTAATCCTTTGAATTAATAATTCCTCCTTAAATCCTACACTAATGACCTAAATACAATGGTCAAAGAAATACAATGAATAGGAAAAATTACAAGAAAGAGAATGAGACCAATATTGGGTATCAAAAGTCCAAAAGCTTATGAAGCCCAATTACAAGCCCAAAGTTCACAAACCCTAATCTATGGTCAAAATACAAGACCAAAAGCAAAGTAAATCCCTATTCTATGAATATGCAATAAAACATGGTCTCAAACAAGTAAAGCCCAAGTGAGGAGCACCCTAGGCCCTCCAAGCCCATTGGGCACACTAAGCTTTGAAGCAGTCATGTCTTCTAGTAATCTCCTGGCCATAGCTCTAGTGGTTGGACCCTTGGTCCATGCTCTTCCATCACCCATACACAAACTTAGAGTCCTCTCAGCGGATTGGACTTTTGTGTCTTTCTCGGCGATCCCGTCACCGACTTTAGTCTCCTGATTCACAAGGGGAATGGCCATCTCGGCCTCGCGACGACGCTTGTGGGAACTTTCCCCTAACACACCCTGTCGGGATAAGGGACCAGCATCCCTCGTCTTTTCCCCGACCACTTCAGCGGCAATAGCCTTAGAAGCTTCTTGCTGTTTCCATAGCTTCATCAGTTCGTGATTGCTCATGCTAGCCATTTTTTCTGCAATGCCGAGAAACACAATATTAGTCAACAGAGTAAAATGAAGATGAGAAGTTAAAAAGGGGCGATTGGTTAAAAACCGAATACCTATATAAATTTTCAATTCCTTGGGCCTATTTTCTAAGTCTAGAAGTTTCGCGTTGTTGAAAACTATTTTGAGATCCTCAAGTTTTTTAACGTCTTCCTGGTCCGTCTCAGAGAGCTTCTCGGCAGGTAGCCCTCCAAAAGATACCGTCTTTTGTTTCCAATATAAAGGGAACCCCTCTAGCACATGTTCATGGCCTGGGGAGCAACGTATTCGGAAGTATGATTTTTTAAAGTCCTTATAGGACGATTGAAATAAAGTCAAAAGTCCCCGACCAGTCACCCCATAAACAGACACCCAGCTACTACGTTAACTGGTCTGACTCTCGAAGAAGTAAAAGAACTTATCTACGGTCGGGGTTATACCTAAGCCTACACATAAGATCTCAAACCCTCGGACAAAGGCCAAGCTATTAGGATGGAACTGGGTAGGGGTCACACCTAAGGCTTGTAGTACTCCTTTCTCACAAACAGTAAAGGGCCATCTCACTTTCAACCTAGAAATCAAAGTGGAAAAACAAAAAGTAAACCTCTCGGTGGAAGCCCCCTCAATACATACAGGTTCTTTATCTACACAAGGTTAACAAATAATTAAATGGTCGCCCTCACCGCACACTACGTGCTCTCTACAAAAACTCTCCATGGCATCCCAAGAATTTATCAAAGATTCGCAATGCAAAACATCTTCTTTTACCCATTTGTACATTTCCCCATAGTTTACGAACGCCATTGCAAGTATAAACCTAACTTAAATATCAACTTAGGCTTCATTGCAAACAAAAATGGCTAGATGGTTCAGATGGGGGTACCTAAGGACACACAACAACTTCCCACTCAAACGAACTCCAAAGCACCGCCGTAAGCCACCGCGAACCACCAGAGAATCCCAACGAGTTTCAAGGAACGGAGGAAAAAAGTGCACAAAGGAGGGAGGCAAAAGAGAGGAAAAAAATGGCAAGGGCTCGCGAGACGTTCATATTTATAGGGGTAAGGAAGCGTATATGAGAAGCCATGGGTGAAACGCGGCGTTTCGTGTGAAGCGCAGCACCCAAAATGTCCCTGCACGCGTGGAACGATATGACTCATGATTGAAGGAGCCCCAAGCATTAAATGAATCCAAGTGTCATTACCACGAGGCGGTGTAAGTAATCAATCCTCTGTAAAAAACGGCTATGTAATAAATGCACGCACCCAGTGCCAGCATATGAAGGGTCGCGGATTGGAATATCATGAGACAATATAACCCATTACCGACCAGCACAAAAACCAAGCCACGCTCGTGGCTACCCAAGGACCCATAGGTAAATAGTCGACATTCTCACCCCAAAAATCGGAAAAACCCCGTGAAGAGAAACTGCACAAGCCCTTTCGCCTAATAGGCTCAGGGCTGGAAGGCGAGTGTACCGTCCAGGATATAAGTCGACCTGGCCCCAGTAAGAGGGGACTCGGTCAAGTATCTTAACTCGGTAATAATCTGATTCACTCCCATACCAAGGTTTTCACCTGAGGTGGGCACTAGTTAAGCCCTTTCGCCCAATAGGCTCAGGGCTGGAAGGCAAGTGTATAGTCCTGGGTATAAGCTGACCTGACTCTGGTATGGAGGGACTTAGTATTAGCTAATTTGGCATCTTAGTGGGGAGAACCCGGTCAAATTCTGATCCTGCTTCCCTCGTAGGGTATAGCTCGATAATATTCTGATCCCACTACCCCCGTAGGGTTTTGGCTCGGTCGGATTCTGTACCGTCTCAGTCGTGGGCCGATCTGATCTCCTTAATGATGATAAGACGTCAACAGCCCTATACTCGGAAATTACCCGACTTGGCAACCAGGCCCTAAAACCTCTCGCCTTATGGGCACTCGGAAATAAGGTGACCATGATTTCCTACTCGGTATTAACCCGATGTAGGGTTCAGTAAAAGCCTATTCGGTCATAGCCCGATTAGGCTTAGCGAGCTCGATTCCTCTTGCCTACCAGGGAACCACTCGGCACTTATCTCGTCGGATTTTCGGTATAGACCCTGTCGGTCGGACCCCGACTGAACTCGTTCCCGTTGATCTCGCATCATCGTGATAAGAACGGTTAGGGAAATCCCTTGATCCTCGGGGTCTAAGAGGCCCACGAACAACGCACCATAAAGCCTGAAACCCTAGAGTTGAGACGGCAGAACACACTTTTGAATGCTCTGGCTTTGAGGCACGACCTAGGAAAAAACCCTAGTCCACCCCTTGGCCGGAACATTTTGGCGCCCACCGTGGGGCTACGGTGAAACTCTTCCTACGCCCCAAGTCATACAGAAAGACCTACACTTTACCATGGCGAGCGGCGGCAACAACAACAACTCGCAACCCCCTACCATGGAGGAGATGATGGCCATGATCAATGGTTTAAGGGAGGACAATGCACGATCCAGGGAGAGAGAGGAGGCCATTCAACGCGAAAACGAGGAGATAAGGAGAAGAGCCGACGAGCTGCAGGCCAGAGTAGCGGCTAGTACTAGGACTGTTGAGGAGGACGTCATGTTGGAGGTCCCTAGGGACTTTCGACCATTTTCGGAGGCCATAGAGGCCGAGGTGATCCCTAGGGATCATCGGATACCGCAGATCGAGCCTTTCGATGGAACGCAAGATCCCAGTCAGCACTTGACAGACTTCCGGGCTCAAATGTTAATCTGTGGAGGGAGCATGGAAGTCCGTTGCAAGTTGTTCATGGGCACTCTCAAGAAGGCGGCGCTCGACTGGTTTAGCGGTCTCCCGGATAGGGCGATCACCGATTTTGATGTTTTCAGCCGGCTCTTCATGGCGCAATTCGCTGCTAACAAAAAGAAGCCGCCGATCACATCGGATTTGTTCGACCTCAAACAGCAACGCGAGGAATCTCTGAAAGATTTCCTGCAAAGATTTAATGAGGTCGCTTTGAGGATAGCATCATTGGACGAGAAGATGGCGGTTATCGCATTCCAGAAAGGTCTGAGGTCTGGGGCTTTCGACATTGCACTCGAAAGAGCGAACTGTCAAACGATGTCGGAGGTAAGGGCTTTTGCTTTGAGCCACATCAAGACGGAGGAAAACCAGATTGTTAAAAGGGCGGCTGAGAACCGAGAAGCAGGAGGCAGCACTAAAGAGGGAAACAAACATCTCCGACCTCGGTCAGACTGGAATAAGCGGCGCGACCGGTACAGTGCGAAGGAGGGCAATTACCGACAGGCCGATCACGGTGGTCGGTCAAGAGGCGAGTGGATGCAGGGCGATGAAGAAGAGAAGTTCACTCCACTCACTGTTCCCAAGAGACAGATACTCCACAATGTTAATAGTGCCTCGCTGTTTGAGTTCCTAGCGGTGACGGAGCGTCAGTTGGGCCCTTTCAAAACCGCGTGGTGTGAGTTTCACAGGACTCACGGGCACACAACTGAAAATTGTTTCATTTTGGGAAGGCAGATAGAGCGGTTGATCAAGGAGGGACGAC